ATCAATAGGGTGTGGATCTGAGTGACATTTCTTTCTAGAACTAAACCAGTTACAGACTGAGCCAAAATGAGAACACAACAAATGCACTTCAAGTATTGATAAAGATTCTATGTATTTCTAGTCAGCATGATGCTGAATCAAATGTTATTTGCAGACCAAGTGAAACGAAATTATGACTTTCTGCAATTAACATATGTAGAAGGCACGAATTCATTTTGTATGTATAGTGTATGGATTTTTTTCTTCTAAATCTGATGTATAAAATACCCCACTGATGCTTGAGTTTTCTGTAAATTGGGCAGGAATTGATAGAATAAGGTCTAAACTAGATATCCTCTTCTGTTTTGATGTAAATGAATTGGTATTACCACAATAAGAATACAGCAGTGACTGACAAAAAGCTGTTTCATTTCTTCCTGCAATGTTAGTATGTCTGTACTAAAGTACACTTTTGGAAGGACTAAATTTTATTATGTTGAGTGTGGGGTAAAAATGAACCTGTCTTGTTAAAAATGATCCTGCCTTCAATCTTTAAAAGTTCAATTTCAAGTCTAGAAAATGTCAGTGTTCTGACATCCTGGTAAACCTGTGATTTGCAAAATGTAAATATCCACTGCTTGAAAATTGCACTTTGAGTAGTTCAAGTCTGTATAATTAAAATATATCTACCCTGCTTGCCCAAATGATCATAAATGCATAAGTATAACCAAAACGTAGGCTAAAGATGTAGATAACCATCTGAAACTATATCTGAGTACAGCAGCTTCTGTATCGTTAGACGCCAGAAGCATGGTCCTATATGAGTAGCATTAACTAATACAGTTCCTCAAAAGATTCCAAAATATACAGCTGAGCTGGGTTAGTCTGTTGAATGGATAATTTAATCTTCTGTATTAATAGCGGTGTTACTGGATCAAGCCTTCTGCAGAGGCAGTGTTGTCTAGTAAATTGACTATAGGAGCTGACAGTTAGGAACACCTGAGTACTAGTCTGGTTGCTACTAATGTGTTCTGTTGACTTGTCGTAGAAAAGTTGCTTAGCCTCTTTTGGGAAGTGTTTCTTCATCTGTAAAACTGGGATACTCTATTACTACCTACTCAACAAGGCATGGTTGTGTGGCTTCGTTCATAAGTTAATGTTTGCACAGCATCTTAAAGATGTAAAGTTCTGTGTAAGTGGTAATTCTTACCCTATTGCCTAGTAATTCCACCTGTCCTGACCCTGTAGGAAGGGAGTGTGTCATCTTAAAGAAGCTCTGTTTAAAGGAATTAGTCCTGCTGCATAGGAAATCTCAAAGACAAGCAATTTTAAGGCAACGGGACTTTACACTTAAACAGATGTGATTTACAAGATTACATCTTAATCTTAAACCCTTTGATCCTTCATAGCTAATTCCTTTTACTCACCTCCTGGGCACAGGGTAGGTGACTTGATGGGATGCTACTCTGTTTTCAGCATGGGTTATGGCTAAGTGTCTGTCCATTTCAAACATACTGAAAAAATAGGGACATGGGACTCGTACAATGAAAAGTACATTTTTACATAGTTATCTCCCCTAGAAAATCAAACAGGCTCTAGACCAGAGGAAATGCATGGGTTTTGAATAAGATTTATAACTCTGCTATGCTGCTGATATAAGATACACCTTTTTGGTCTGTTCTTTTCTCCAGGAGGAAATTCAGGCTTGCCTCATCACCCCGTCTAAAGGTACATCTTCACTACCCGCCGGATCGGTGGGTAGTAATCAATCTACTGGGGATCGATTTATCGCGTCTCGTCTAGACGCGATAAATCGATCCCCAAACGTGCTCCCCGTCGACTCCGGAACTCCACCAGAGCGAGAGGCGGTAGCGGAGTCGACGGGGGAGCCGCAGCCATCAATCCTGCACCGTGAGGACCCGAGGTAAATCTATCTAAGATACGTCGACTTCAGCTACGCTATTCACGTAGCTGAAGTTGCGTATCTTAGATCAATCTTCCTCCCCCCACTGTGTAGACCAGACCTAATGCTCTTATTCTGTCTGAGAAACAACCTTAGCTGTTTGTTCTGTTCTCCTGCCCTCTTTCCTCTCACTCTCTCTTACTGACACTGTCACTGTGCTACACCACTGTCCTGGGATGAGCGGAAGTATCCTCTCATGGTGCTAAAGTAGGGTGTGGGAAAGCAGAGTTCAGTTCCCTGCTCTCTCACAGACTCTGTGCGTGACCTTGGGTCAGTGGGGATAATTAACACTTCCCTACCTGACCATAAAGGACAAATAGATTGAAGACTGTGGTGCCCAATGCTGGGTAATGGAGGCCATGTTGTCATGACTTAGATACTAATGAGTAGTAGGCCATGCTCACCTTTCAGATGCCCTCCATATACAATGTCCAAACTACTGCCAGCCTCCAATAGTCCACCACTGTACTAGTCTACCCCTTCCTGCCTTAAAACTGAAAACCTGCTCTGGTCAAGGCCTGATAGGCATATCCTATGTATTAGAAAGGTCCATTTTCCCAATGCCCAGGATTTTTCCCCAAAGGTGTTGTAAAAAATTTGGTGCAGAAAATATGCAGGTCATGTGCAACACTTTCTACTTTCTCCAGGCATGGGCCTGGGTCTGCAGGATCCTGAGGTACATTATCAGCACTGCATTTTTCAACAGAAGAACAAAGTTCTGTTACTTTTTGTATTTAAAATGCTAGACAGGTGATGTGCGGACAAAACTGGAATCCTATTCCTAAAGTGACATGAACTTACAGGGGCCAGAAGGAAATCAAATTTGGCCCCACATGTTTAGAGGTGGGGGGCTGGATTCTCCACTGACTTGCATAATCACTTCTACCCAAGCAAAAGGCTTGTAAAATTTTATACATACCAGGCACAGGTTCAAAGCCATGGAGATTCATCCACCCTACAGTATTTTAATTAATTTTTCAAAAATTGCTTGTTACATAACCTAAGAACACGACACACATTCCTGGTTTCTTTTAAAAGCACAGCCATTCTGCTGTAGGGCTTGTAATTCAAATACTGCAGCACTGGGCTAGTGTACTGTATACAGGAATCTGACAGTGAAATTGATTTTGAAACTGACTACGCTGCTCTCCTTGCCTAACCTGAAAGACAGGCAGAGGGTAAACAATGGGCACAGATAGTGGAAAAGCCGGAGTTGTAAAGTTACATTTGTGTAAGTCTAAGGTGTGATCAGCAACAAAAGTAAGGCAATTTGTTTTTAAAAATTAGCCTTTTTTTTTTTTTTTTTTTTTTTTTTTAAAGCTGAAAGTGTCCCACTAACCAGTAGGTAGCAAAATATCCCATGTTTGTCTACATTATCTAAAATGGTTAAGACAAAAGCCCCAACGAATGATGCTTTTCCTTGCTTCTTATAGAAACTTTCAGGATGTATAGTGGAGCTTGATAACAAAATAAATAATTCCTAGCCAAAGAACCTTATAGATTGTTTTTAATAGCTTTACAAGTAGAATGTTGATTGTTTTCACTAATGTGGAAGCAGCCACCTTGCCAAAATTCTCCTTTTACTTTTTTAAATAAACTGTCAAGACTTTTGGCAATGTTTTCATGCAGCGTCTGTTTCTTGACTTGATTAGTTTGACCCTAGCCTCTGATAGTCAGGTGATGGGAATTAAATACCATAGCAAAATTAGGCAAATGCCAATGGTACCCATTAGATTAAACCTAAAGAATTTAAAAAAACTTGGTAAAAAGTCCATACGTGAGGTGGCGTTTACCCTTGTGTAACAACTCTTTTAACCTTACACGTCCCTCTCTTTATTTTAACAAAAGCTTATCCTGCAGTTAGCCAATAGTAAAGAAATAATAAAACTCTAAGACATCCCCACCTTATCGGTATAGCAGCGAAGGTCACAGTCTATTAAGCGTTAGAAGTACACGAAAGCCCTAAGGCCTGGAACGCCACTTTGAAACTTAACTGCTGACTATCATGAAACAGTACAAGAGGGAGACCCTCTATACTGTAGGACTGATAAGGTACATTTGGCAGCTGACTTGGGGAAGGGATCAAGGATAAAGAAAAGGACTTGCTAAGAGAGAGATCATTTGAAATGTAAACCCTATTGCCTAGTGCCTGTGCATTTCACAAAGGAAAATTGCCACTACCACTTAAGCAAGCCAGCTATTTATCACTTATGGGCTGAAAGAGGATTGGGATGGGCCTGGACAGCTAATGGGGTGAGGAGCAGATTGGAGCAGTTCTCTTCCCCCTCCCAGTTCCCACTGTCCTTGATAATACCACCCAGACAGTATCAACTCCCCAACAATCCCTCTTCTAGATTCTTTCTTTCTCTGCTCCCACGAAGTACCGTCAGTATCCTGTTCTCGAATGGCTCCCTCCACCTAATCCCTCTGCCTCTCCCCCACTTGCTTCTGCTCAGGAGGGATGACACCCTGAAGGAGAGATCGGTGACTATTTCTCACTGCTCAGAAGCGTTAAACAGGGCATTGCACAAAACTTGGCATAGGCTTCAGCTACTGAGGCGTTAAGAATTTTTCCCCAGGTCAGAAATCAGTGCTGCTTACGAGGCAGCTATTTGAAATATTTTGTAGGAGGCGTGGCTTGTAGTAATTTACAGGAGCCCTAATGTGATCGAAAGCAGGTGGAGTGTACACTGTGCAATGTAATTGGTGGCCAGAGGGGGGGAAAGCCACATAGCCTTAAACATTAAAAAGAGGCCACCAGGCCAGGACTATTCCATAGACCCAAAGCAGCTGAAATGGAGGAGGGAAGGGGAAATCTTCTGGGGAAACAGCTCTCTCTAATTCAAAGCCTTAATGTGTGAAGGTCTCAGAGAGGTGTGAGCTGTGCCTCGTGTGTGACCCTGCACTTCTGCCACCTTATATATAAAATAGGGTTGCATGTTCCAAGATCACAGAAACCTCCATGCAACCAGCTGCTGGTTTTTATGCCAGAGCTGTTAACAGAGGCCGGTAGGCATCCGTTTGTAAATACTGCAGTAGTTTTATTACAGCTGGATTTTGTTTAATATAGTTACTTGTCTATACCTTTCGTCTGGTTCACCCTAGTGAGCCCCCTTGAATAGCAGAGGGGATGCACTATAGATGTCACTAGAGAATACCCATATTGTAGATATTGAGGCTAGCCAAGTTTCCGTAAGTAGAGACAGATAGCACTTAGGGAAGGGTTGTTTACTGATGCAGTTACTGTTTTAAAGCCATGCCCAGTTTTTTCCCATTCATCTTCACTAGTAAAAGCAGTTTGGTTTATACTGTGGTGAAACTAGTGTAATAAATGAGACAAGCCTGTTTCTAGTTCCCTCAGTGCTTTGTAATGGGAACTGGATCCACTGAAGGGAGTATTGGGTCTTGGGGTGGGGGGGGGTTGCACTACAGTGTACACTATGCCCAGGATACGACAAAACCAACGGAAAAAGAAACAACCTAGGACCAGATTTTCAGTGCAATCACGCGTGACGAGGGATGGGACTCAGCACTGAGCATCAGCGAGCTAATGCCATGATCAGACTGGCACACATTTCAAAAAAATCCATGGTGTGGCTTCCCAGGCGTGGAGTAACGGAGGCCACACTCCCAATCAAGGAGCCAGTCAGGGATCCAGTAAGCGACTGGAATTCAGCAGTGGTAGAATCAATACTCAGTCTTGGTCTGTGCAAACCAGCCGCAGAGCATGAGCGCTGTGGTGTGGAGGAGCCTGACCTCTGCTCCATGACATCATCTTAAATGCACAAACAAACAGCGTTATTTAAAATCTACTCAGCTGCTACCCCGGGGTGAGGCCTGGCCAAGAAAGGAACACTTACATCAACAGTAGACACATGCTAGGAATGACATTCTGGCTCCGCTGAAGCCAGTGACAAAACGCCTGTTAACTTCAGTGGGGCCAGGGTTTCACCCTAGAAGTGTGCCAATTAAAATGTGTGTTACATTAGTAGGGGGAAAAGGTAGTCTTAGATTAAAGCTCGCTGCGTGTACCTGCTTGGGAGATTCTATAAAGTAAAAATACATATGTGCTCTGGTATCTAGCTACTTCTACACACTTCGCTGTGTGTGATCACTTAAGATCAAAACAAGTTTGCAGCAGATGAGGAAAAAGTATGTTGTGCAGTGACAAATGGGTAGGCTCGTTGGAATTGATTTTCCCCTTTCGCAAGTATAAAGAACTATTAAACTGTCACAGTAGCGCTAGTGGAGATGAATGGACCAGAGTTACTCAAGTGGACTAGAAACACTAGCAGATACCATAGGAGAGTTTGAAAACGTAAAGTGACAAAACCCTCAAAATTCCCCATTCTATGCGATTCAATTGTCATGCCACAACACTTCCTGCTTACCATCAATGCTTTTAAAGTCCAAAAGATAGCTGCGATTGTCAACCTGGTAAAGCTGTAAACTCATTTTCACATAATTCCCGGTCACCGGGTTCTTTCGACGCACTCTAAGATGATAGGCGTTCACCACCTAAAACAGGTAACTTTCTTTCAGGAATAAAATTCAAGATGGTAGAAAGAACATTCTCCCCCTCTCTCTTCCCCCCCCCCCCCCCCCCCCCCCCCGCGTGAAACATTTCAAGAAAAGAACGTTGGAAAGAATGATTGCTTTAACATAAATAAATAAATATCCTAGTTTCTTCTAAAATGTGTTTGTGGTTTTTTTTATGTTAAGTGCTTTTCAGTTAGGGTTGTGCGCACCTCTCTTGCCACCCTGCTAGCCCACATGTGTAACTCTCAATACAATCTCTTCCTTTTGTACATAGTTTATAAAGGATTTGCATGGATGGCAGGTTTGTTGGGATGCGAAACCTGTTTGTGGAGTTAAGTCTTAGGGGGCGGACGATTATTGCTCAAGCCGAATACTAGAAAAAACTTCATCGCCTACAGAACTATTTAGCTAACTTCATTCTGGGTGTAATTCCACTTCCGTTTGTAGAGCTGCACCAGGGATAAATTTGGCTCATTAGCTCTCTGTCTTGCTGTGCATGTAACCAAGCTATTAGTTGTTGCAGACCCTAATATCTTTATTTAGACTGTACGCTCTTTGGGGCAGGGATTCTGTCGTATGTTTGGACAGTGCCTTGGGCAATGGGGACTTGGCCTCCAGGTGCTACTGCCATCCAAATAAATAATACCAAAAAAAGAGAGGGAGCGGGCTTCCAGAAATGACAGCAAATCAATTCACTGACCAGAGAGAGAATTTTCTTGGGGAAGAAGAGCGACACATTCAGATTTACTTCAGAGAGCAAATATTAGTTGAATGAAATAGTAATAATATATTTCTGCTCCATTGTAACTAAACACCTTTACTCTGCCCTCTGCCTGCCAAAACAGGGAGTGGGGTAAAACTTGAATTCAGTCACCTGTGTTAGAAAACAGTCCAAGGTCTAGAAGATATGCTTTAGTCAAATACAAGTAATTGGGATCGATACAGGGGTGACTGGGGGAAGTTCTACGGTCTGTCTTATGCAGGAGATCAGACTAGATCAGTGGTTCTCAATCAGGGGTATGTGTACCCCTGGGGGCATGCAGAAGTCTTCTACATCAACTCATCTAGATATTTACCTAGTTTTACAACAGGGGACATAAAAAGCACTAGTGAAGTCGGTACAAACTAAAATTTCATACAATGACTTGTAGATAGAGCAATATAAACTATACACTGAAATGTAAATAAAATATTTATATTCCAATTGATGTCTTTTATAGTTTTATGGTTAAAAATGAGAAAGTCAGCAATTTTCAGTACTGGTGTGCGGTGACACTTTTGGGTATTTTTATGTCTGATTTTGTAAGCAAGTCGTTTTTAAGTGAGGTGAAACTTGGGGTACACAAGACATATCAGACTGCTGAAAGGGGTACAGTAGTTGCGAGCCACAGACTAAATGATCTAATGGTTCGTTCTGGCATTATAATTATGAAAACTTCACACTTGGTTAACTCCTTAGAAGAACCACTAAAACTTGTAATTGCCACAGTCTGTAAAGTAGTTTTCAAACCTGTCCTGAGCTGCCTCTAATGATGGGACTCAGTTACTGCATGCAGGGGCCTGAGCTGAGCCATTTCCCCACTCGTTTCACATAGCTACCCACAAATGAATTAAATGCTGGAAACTTTAACACATTATTATGGGTGATGTTTTTAAATGCCGGCATTTCAAAAGTAGCATATGCAGCAATGGTAACGTTCACATGCTCTACACCATTAAGTAAACCATTCTAGAATGAACTAGTGGGGATAAACATAGCTGTGTCATGCCGGCGTGTCAATGGTGATGGGCCTGATTCTGCACTGCCTTTCATCTTGTGTTGCTATTTACCCTGGTGCAAAGTGGTTGTAAAAGGCTAATGAGTCAGCTGGTCACAGGTAAGTGACTACACGAGGCTGTGGAGAATCAGGCACAGGAGTTCTTAACGAGGGCTAAATCAATGGCAAGAATTTATCTGAGCACAAGAAAAATCAAATAGCTAGCTGCTGCAAAAATACCTGTCCTGTCCCATGCACCGATAGCTCAGAAAACCCAGTAAAAAGAGACTATTACCAAAGCAAAAAAAGAAAAATCAAGCATGAGAAAGTTCAGCCCCAACAGGTGCATTGTTTGGGAAGCGTTAAGTGACTGTAAGCATGAGCTAGACATGGATGTACCTTCACCAATAATAAATACAGTTTCACTAGCAAAATAACTTTTGTCCATAGAGTAACACAGCCTATATAGCCCTTCAGAAAAGAATAAAGGGAACAGATTGTGTAGTTTCCGGACATGTGATTGTTATGACCCATGCAAGAGCTTTCAAGGTATTCTGTCACTAAAATTAGAAATAGGACCAGCTCCTGCTTTCCCTACAGCTAAATAAGAAAGAATTATTCTTCCAACCTAGGCTGAGAGAGTTAAAATAAGGAAGTGCATATTTGATGTCAGTAATGCATGTGGAGCTTATTTAGCCACAACGAGCATTTTTCATGTTGAGTGTTTGTAAAAGTAAAAATAATAAACTAGAGATGATAATACAGTGGTATTAGTTCAAAACAGACAATCCCGTAACAATACTTACTAACTGCACTGATCAATTCAGCTCAGGAGAACTTATAAGAAAATAATCCTTGAAAATGGCCACAAAGCACTGATATTTCCTACCTTCCATTCAAAATCCAGCTGTTTCATAGCTCGGTACACTTCAGCCATAATGTCATACGGTTTGCTTTGACTGCGGATTCCTAGATGCCACTTGGCTTTTTTCACAGTCAGAGGTTTTGGCTTGGTAGTATTCAGTGCATCCAAGGGACACCGTGCTTTGGGACTGTCTGCTATTAAAGGAGGCATCCGCTCTGGGTGTGGTTTCACCCCTGGAGGTATGTGCATAGTGCTGTCATCCATAAATGAGCCAGTGGGCGGACTAGAGGCGAGGTAGAACTCACTGGCTTGGTTCATGATTCTCCGATTGTCAATAATAAGGTGGTAAGCTACTGCAAGCTGGTCTTGTGGGTCACCGCTATACAAACTGTTCATCACCTCCGACTCCGTGCATTCAAACTTCTCACAAACTTCCCGCACTGCGTCATCATCAATGACATTGGCATCGTAAGAAGGATCCTCTGGAAACAAATAACTGGGCAAGTCTTGTTTAAACCACTCGTGTTCTCTAGGGGAAAAAGAAATGAAACTGTGACTACAGAGAGAGAGAGCGTAGCCGTGAGTCTTTATTTACAGTTGGGTAACCTAGCGGTGATTCATTCTATGAGCTACAGCCCGAGGTGGGGGGGAGGGTGAAGGGGGTTGAACCAATCAGACAGACCCTCAGCTGGTGTAAACTGGCAAAGCTTTGTTGTTTCAATGTAGCTACAATAATTTACACCAGTTGACAATCAAGCCCATTATTTTTAGTGATGTCTGTGTCTTCAGTTAGGCAGTGGAACTCATTGCCACAAGACATCAGCGTGGCCAAGAGTTTGGCGGAACTCGAAACAGGCCTTGGCACTACTATAATATTCTATCAAACAAAGTGCTTGTGGAAGGCCTTGATTTGACAGCCCTGCAAACTATTAATTATTTATCAACACACAGGTAGCACCAGTGCATGCTTCCCTCAGACTAAGGTACCACAACAATATTGACTAGAGGGGTGAAGGACAGTGCAGTTGCCACGCTGATTCAGTTTTTGGTCTTTCTGTTGTAACTTCCAACAAAACTGTGAGTTGTGTGAAATAGTCACACCAAACAAAGCAAGGAGCGTGTGTGCAGGGTCTCCTGCATGTGATGGGGTGTCCACCCCACACAAGGCTTGCAAGGGTGAAGGTGGCCAGGTAGGCCAATTACCTCCCCAGCCTGCAACTGGAGACGGAGCCAGGGATTTAAGTAGAACAGGCTCAGCTGGACAGGACCAAGTAAGGCCTATATAAACTAAGAAGCTGGCAACAAGGGGGCGCTGCAGATATTCCCTGGGAGAAGGGAAGGTGTATTCAGGACTATGGAGGGTAGTCTGTGGGTACTCCCTGGGAGGAGGTTGTTGGGAGGCTGGCAGAGGGGGTGGGGGAAAGCAAAGAAGGTGGGAGATGGTTCAGGAGAATAGTTGCAAGGAATAGGAATGCAGACCTTGGCTGCTGACTAGAAGGCCCCTGATTAGAGGATGGGCCTGGGTCCCGCTACCAGCTGCTGACCAAGTGGCACCATCAGGGCAGTGAGCAGGAACACTGCCTGAACCAACCTGTCAAGAGGGACTTTGCTACCCCTGGATAGGGGAACATGTGGTGACCCGGCTGGAGGGGAGGCTGCGGTTCCTGGAGCAAGAGGGGCCCACAGGATGGGGGAGAGAACGCTGGAGGAGGGTGCAATGCCTGGTCAGATCTAATCCCCAGAGGGCCCAGGAGGAGGCGCCACCAGTGGTGAGTGGAACCCATGACACCACATCAGTGAACGTCAGCGTTGGTTCACAAATCCCAGGCTGATGTTCAGTTTACAGACAGGCCACCCTCCAAAAGGCGCCCCCGGCCCTTGCTCCCTCCCCATTTTGCCTGTGCCGTCTGCAGACAGGCCCCCTACAGGCCTCCCTTGGGATTTCAGTTTTTCTTGAGGCACGAACTGTGGCCACTGCCCTTTCCAATGCTTTCAAAGTCTTTGAGGCGGAGGGGAGGTGTTCAGCATCCATCCATCTTCCATCTCCATAGGGCAGTGGGACTGGGGAAACACTGGTGGCAATCACTGGTTATCGCACTAGGCACTAGGGGGCAACTCTGTCTTAGAGACAGTTGGCAATCAGAGTGTTTCTCTACTCCTGCATGGGGGTGGAGTGGCCCCTAAAATCTGCCTCTCATGCATGGACTGTGGTGGGCACTGGTCACACCCTGGAGAGCATAATTTGGAAAAGGCCCTGCCACAAAATTGCCCCTCTAAACCTCTGGGAGCAATTGGATGGTCGTATGCAGCCCAAAGGCAGCAAACACAATGTGTAGGATGGCGTCCCAGAGCAGGAGCCCTTGGGGGGTGGGGTTCCTCATGCAAACCCACACCTCCAGGACTAAGTGTGCTGCCAACCCCTAATAAGAGCACCTGCAAGTGAACTAAACCCTATATCATTCATCCGGCACTGCAACTGTGATTATATTTGTATGTTAGGAGCTGGCCTGAGCCCCAAACACCCATCAGATGGTAATGACTCTTGGTCACTGCTGTGCTGATGTAGTTACAAGTGGTCAACCATTCTCCACATCCCATTACCAGCTGTTGTTGCCTCATAGGCATTCCTCCCCAAGATGCAATTAGATCCACTAAACTAAGGGCTGGTCTACACCCAGCCACTAGTTCGGCGGCTGGGGATCGAAGTTCTCGGTTCGACTTATCGCGTCTGGTCTGGACGCGATAAGTCGAACCAGGAAGTGCTCGCCGTCGACTGCGGTACTCCAGCTCGGTGAGAGGAGTACCGCGGAGTCGACGGGGAGCCTGCCTGCCGCGTGTGGACCGCGTCTGAACCGCGGTAAGTTCGATCTAAGGTATGTCGACTTCAGCTACGTTATTCACGTAGCTGAAGTTGCGTACCTTAGTTCGACTTGGGGGGTTAGTGTAGACCAGGCCTAAGAGACTTGAAAATAAAGGCACCATTTTCACTTTAGGACGGCGGTGGCACTATAAAACCATCCTTGCCAAATGAATTAAATACCCAAGGACTTTTGGATGGCTGTGACATTTAAATACCTATTTTAAAACATCACTTAGATTTAATGATTATTATGAATTTCACAAAAGATAGAGCATGCTCCTAGTTTACAACACCGTACTAAAATTATTCAGTTTCTAAGAATCTATAAGAATCTTTAAGTCCTGCTGTCAGACATGCATTTTTAATTATATTTAAAGGCCCAAACATCTACTAAAGAATCTCAGTGCTCACATTAACCTGAATTTATATGGTAATGTGAGCAGATAGAGGTACAGCACCATCTTATTAATTTGCTAGACGAGAAAATTATACTACATTTAAAGGTGAGCCATTTGCCCTCATTAAGGAACATTTTTCATGTGTTTAATTTTGAGAGTTAGGGCTGTGGAGCCTGCATTCTTGCTCTATGCATCTTTTCATGTTTGCTGTGACTATGCATATTAAATACACTGTATGCTGAACCTGCATTCAGAAGGAAGGAGAAGTTTTTAAATTAAGCAACAAAACGTGGCAGATGAATGCTAATTTCTTAGCATTACTGCATCATATGGCTTTTGCCAAGCCCCGTTAAGGATTTTTGAGACCATTTTATAATGCAATATAAAAGGTCCTGGTTACTTGCTGAAATGCACCTACTAACCTTCATAAACTATGGGTATGTTGACACTTAAAAAGCTGCTGCTGCGCCACTGTAGCGCTTCAGTGTAGACACCCACTACAGCGATGGGAGGGGTTCTCCCGTCACTGTAGTTAATATACCTACCTGAGATGCAGTAGGTAGCTCAAAAGAAGAATTCTTCCATCAACTTAGCACTGTCTACACCAGGGTTTAGGTTGGCATAGCTACATTTCTCAGGGGTATGGATTTTTCATGCCATGAGAGATGTAGCTTTGCCATTGTAAGTTTTCAGTGTCAACTAGCCCTGAGTTCCACAACACAGCTTGCCCACCACATACAAGAAGGTCTATTTGAGGAGAGAGGCTTCTGCTGTGACTTCTGGCATGGGACATTACCTTATGTCCTTGATGGTTGCTCGCTTGAGTGGGTCAACCTGCAGCATGTGCATGAGGAGAGTGGCAACTGAACGGTTGAGATATTCGGGGATGTAGAAAACACCTCCACGGATCTTCTTAAAGAGCGTGGGAACATGTTCATCGTCGAATGGCAGCGTCCCGCAGAGAAGAGCATAGAGAATAACACCACAACTCCAGATATCCACCTCAGGGCCAGCATACAACCTAAACAAAGTCAAGCCAACAGAGAAGATTTCCTTCCCAGGTTTTATCTGTTTGTCAATCAGCATTATATGCTTTGTAGTAGAGGTTATAATATAGCAGAGGAGCTTTAAAAGTGGACCTTGCAGGCTAAATGCTTCAGTTCGTACTCCTACCCCAGTGTCCTAAAACTCAGCCTCACTGTAGCTTCTCTGGTTCTCTCAGACTGAGACGTGGAGGTGCAACCCACAAAGGCTAATGAATCTAAGAGGCTAGGAACCAAGTTTGCTCTTCCTCTCCAACTGCTCTGTGAAAAGCTTGTTTTCTTGTTCCAATGGCTGATGGACTCAGCCAAATATTTCTATACATCCACCAACTCAGATATAACTACAAGCAAATATTACACCTGTGTACATTTACTTTTTTATGTAAGAAATCTGTATTCAAGTCCGATCCAGTACTTAGGCTTCTAGGAAACTGCTAATGTGGGCTCGGTTATCACAAAGCTTGGGTGCCCTTGATACACTCCTTTGATTACTCAGGGTTGGATTTTTTTCAGTAATATTGTGAGCATGCTCCTCCTTGGCCAAAATTTCAAAAGTTGGATGCCTAAAGTTGGGTTCCTACAGCCATACTCAGGCACCTAAATAGCTCGCTCTATTTTCAAAAGTGCCTGTCACCCAGCAGCTCCTACTGAGGCCAATGAAAGCAGGTGAGTACTCAGCATTTTTGGAAAAAACTGGCCAATTATTTAGATGCATAAGTATACCTCTCTTTAGGGTCTTGTTTTTGACAATTCTGGGGGCCCAGTGTTTCTGCTAGTTCCCAGATTGATAGGATGAAAACTGATTTGTTTTTTAGGCCCAAGCAAGATATATCTGCTCTGTCTTACAACCTGTCCTTTCATGCTGTGTTAGCCATCAGGCCATGGCAGAAGGTGAATTTTGAATCCGCTCACATACTCTGGTCTCCTACATAAATCCATGTGCAATGTCGTAGAACAGAACTAACAGACTGACCAATCTCCACGCTACGTGAAAAACATTGTAATGATAACTCTGACAGCTGCTGTCCCTTTAAGAGCAGGGCAGGGTGGGAAACCCTTCCAGGATATAAAATGAGAAGCTGAGCAGCAGTGAGGGAGTCTGAGGGGGGCCTGATAAACGAAAGGCAATATAGTCAGGCGATTAGTAGATGAACCTGGTTTCGACGTATATGGTGTTTTTGTTTCTTTTATTCATTGCTAATAAACTGAATCAGTTGAGTCCTTGCAATCCTTCGGGATCTAGAGGGCAGTAACTTGTACCTTTTCTTTTGCTGTCCTCTGATACAGCACTATTGTCTATACTGCTTGAATGAAAGCATAGTTAGAGCTCTACTAAAGGAAGTGGGGACAACCTTGATTTGCAGCTTCTTTCTGGAGCTGCAGCAGCTGTGGACTTTCTGGCTTTGCCCCCTGTCTGGCCAGCATGACTCATGGATCCCTGTAAGTGGAGTTGTTGCCTCAACTCAGTCCTCCGGTGGTCTAATTCAGAAGGAACTCTGCCATCACTTCCACCGGCATAAGTGACAGGGAACTTAATCAGAAACAATCCACATTAATCAAAATGCTGTGTTTATTTGGCCTGTTAGATGAGATACAGCAGTAAAAATGATATGGGGAAAGTGTACTAGGATCTTGCCACCTGTTTTCTGTTCAAATGAATGCAAACCAGACATAGTATAAAAAAATAACTGGTGCGTAACTGGAAAACAGGTGGTTATGAAGAATATGTACAGGATTCTAAATTTGGAAATCCTTCATTCTAATCCTGGTTCTGTCCCTGGCCTGCTGCATGGACTTGGGCAAATCAGTTTTTTTCCGAGATTCCATTTTCACAATTGTGAAATGGGAAAGGAAAGGTAATACTTCCATCTGGGTGTGATGAAGATTAATTCAGGTTTGGGCAGTGCTTTCAATGGGTAAGGTGCTGTATAAATGCCAAATGCCAGCAGTACTGTAGTGCATGACTGCTTCACAGTTTTGTTTATCATTAATTTAACAGGAAGTCATGAACATTCCGTCCCATGACAGCAGCAACCATTTTTTTGAAAAAAGAAATTGATTAAAAGAAGCTAGAAGATAAGACCTTTCAGATGGAACCACTGTTAAGGTATGGAAAAGGGGTAGAGACCATTGTTAAGATTTGGGAAGTGGGTGGGTAAAATTGGTTGGTCTATCACTGAATAGTTCTCTGTACCAACATAACAAAATTACAGATAGACAGATACAAAATTTTGCATATTGGGTGAATAAGAATTTTGGGGAGGGAAACTCCTTGCATATGAAAAGGATTCAGGTTAAAAATATATTTACCTAATTCTTTATTTAGGTATATAAACAAAAAATGTCTTTTAATAACTCTAAATTTTTTAGAAAGATCGTTTTCTATTTTTAATCATAGAAAACTAAACAAGGTTTTGTCACTAGATTCACTCCCACTTTTAAAAATGGAGGGGGTGGGGGAGCTCCAGCTATCCTTAACAGTAGTACAGAATAAGTTTCAAATACAAGAACAAATGCAAGAATCACACCTGAACATACACTTGCATTAAAGTGGGTTTTCTCAATGCTAAGTTATACCTTCCGGAGATGACTTCAGGTGCTGCATAGTTTGGGGAGCCACAGCTGGTTCGCAGAAATTCACCATCTGACATCATGTTCGACAACCCTAAAAGCAAGATTCTTGCATATTGACACATGCTTCGAATGTATGGTTAGTGAGAATTCTATGCTTCTAAAAGGATGACAGGAGAAGTAGCAAGGGAAGGAGTGGGGGAAATTATGAAATAATAAAATTAAACAATTGAGGGGTTATAGACTGGTGGGGCATCATGTATTACAAATGGGCAGGGATGGTGTCCCTAGCCTCTGTTTGCCAGAGGCTGGGAATGGGCAACAGGGATGGATCACTTGATGATTACATATTCTGTTCATTCCCTCTGAAGCACCTGGCATTGGCCTCTGTCGGAAGACAGGATACTGGACTAGATGGACCTTTGGTCTGACCCAGTATGGCCGTTCTTATGGTCATACGGGGACAAATTCCGTCCTGATGTTACTGCATTGGAGTCTACCATGAATGTTAGCTAATTTTTTTTTAATTATTACACTGAAAACCGTGATGAATATGCAAATTACCTTGTTTCTCCACTGTTCTAAAACCCATGTATGTTTATACTATAAACACAAGAGATCTCACTAGCCATGCCTGTCTTCATTGAAGGGTGAGTGTTTACAATTATGGACTCTTCAGTTAAAATTATGAAATTGTTAATGGCCATGCAAACTGACTCAGTTCTGTAAGGCATGTTATGTTGACACACTCCAGCAAGTGGCTTGTAGCTGGCTACATTTCTGGAATGCTGTTGGGGTCACATACCAAAATCAGCTATCTTGGCATTCATGTGTGCATCCAGCAGCACATTCTCTGGTTTCAGGTCTCTGTGGACAACCATATGCCTGTGACAGTAATCCACTGCAGAGAGAATCTGCTGGAAAAGGCGTCTAGCCTCTGCATCTTCCACCTACAAAACACCGGGAAACGGTTAAAGCTTTCTCTGAAACGACACTTGGCAAAACAGCTTTGGCTCCGTCATGAGCTGAAAAGCTCTATGATGCACAGATAAAATTACAGTAAACAGATTGTAAGCAGAGACAAATGTATAAAGCAGATTTTTCCCCTTGCATTTTATACTGTGTTACTGTTTTGAAATAAAGCTAATAACTAGGAGTCATGTGACGAAATTAGGAAAAGCTCAATTTAGACTGGCTGTCACAAAGACCTGTGCTTAATTTGTGTCAGGGCTGAGCTCCGGCACATGTTGGCAGTTTATAGCCCCTGCACCTCTGGGCTTGCTGTGTCAGTTATGAATGTAAAAAAAGATTGCTCTGAGCCGCCGCACCTCTTTCATTACAAATTAAGCACTGACAAAGACCTTCCTAATAGTGAAATCTATTAGACTGTGGCCTAGTCTCTCAAGGGAACCAATAGCAGTCCTATCACAGGAGATTTTAATCTAGACTTGAGAAAGCATTGCACAATGTTCTACAGGGAACAATTCAGTCATGAGGAATGAAGTAGGTGGCTTTGTAGAGGTTAAAAATGGAGCAGCTCTATGATTCTATAATTAGGAAGAATGCAATAGGGAATTAGGTCTAAGAAAGTGTGTTTCTGGCCATTTATACTGACAATTTCGTAATGTTCTTTCATGAAAAATGTAGTTTCTAAATGTCAAAGTCCAGAAAGGCCTAACTTTAATACTTAGAAAGATCAAGTATTTTCTATAAACTTGAAAAAAAATCATACTGTAAATCAGAATTGTATTCATAAATTTAAAGGACCAATGGAAATGACTCCTTCTACCAGCGTACTTATACAAAAGAGTTTAGTATAAAATGTATTTATTTTGTGACACTACAGGGAGAGAAGAACATTAGCATTGTAGCCTGAGCTTTTCCGGTATCCTAACTGAGATCCTTATTAATCCATTTTATATGTTCTTATGTTCCTGGCTGGTGGCTGTATGAAACCTACCAAGACATCCGTAAGGGAGTTACTAGTGATTTTCCTTGTATTTAACAGTAGGTTTATTATTTGATTGGCTTATTTCTCTGGCTTGTTTTTGTTTTTTGCTTTTTTGTTTATATGCTGTAACACAACATGGAGTAGTTGCAAAGTGATATATACAACTGTATTCTAGGCCAAATGCAAGATATTCAGGATAGGACTATTTTTGTTCCATTTAGCTAGAACAGGGATTGGCAACCTTTGGCATGTGGCCCGCCAAGGTAAGCACCCTGGTGGGCCGGGCTGGTTTGTTTACCTGCCGTGTCTGCAGGTTTGGCCGATCGCGGCTCCCACTGGCTGCGGTTCGGCGCTCCAGGCCAATGGGGGTTGCAGGAAGCGGCGGCCAGCACATCCCTCGGCCTGCGCTGCCTCCTGCAGCCCCCATTGGCCTGTAGTGCCGAACCGCGGCCAGTGGGAGCCGCGATCAGCCGAACCTGTGGACGCGGCAGGTAAACAAACCATCCCGGCCTGCCAGGGTGCTTACCTTGGCGGGCTGCGTGCCAAAGGTTGCCGACCCCTGCGCTAGAAAGTATCCCATTTTGCAAAACCATTTTATTCCTCAGCACCATCGTTTTCCCACATGAATCTTTATCTTGACAAGATACTGTCACTTACGCGTCCATGCTTACAGATGTAATCAAACAATTCGCCACCAGATACATATTCCATTACCATGAAAAAATCAGTTGGAGTGCTGATGACCTGATATCTTCAAAAACAAAAGAGAGAATTTAAAAAGACTTGATTAGTAATAACAAGGCAAGGTTTTTAAACAGTTTACTATTATAACTTCTTCTGTAAAATAAACATTTGTTTTGATCTTGTGTATAAAATTGCTTTCCATATATGAAAAGCAATCACTTATATTTTAAGATGCACACAAACGTAATATCTTTCAGTGGTCTGTTGAAAGGATCTGTTTCACAAATTCACTTCTTTATTTCTTAAGCTTTTACATAATCCTCTGAAATCTTTGCTACAGTAGTTTACCACACTTAGGACTAACCTGATTTTAAAATTTCCATTTTGGCTAAGATTTACAGCAATGTCTTAAGAGATGCAGGCTGCCTTCAAAAGCAAAAAAGGAATATTAACTCCTTCCCCCTCCCCCTTTGTACTGAGGATACAGGAGAAAAGAACTCTAGGTACTATAGGCAGGTAAAGTTTGAATATTTCCTATTTCACTCCAGTTTCTCAGCTAGTGTAAATTGGCATAACCTTATTGACCTCAATGAAGCTACCTAAATTTATAGCAACACCAGCTGAGGTTCACATCCATTTTCTTGTACTCCGATTTTGTGTTTGCACTGCCTATAGTTGAATTTGTGTTCTGTATCATTACATTAGAAGTGAACAAATAACTTCCTGTCTTCTTAAAACTGCATGTAAATACATCGTGTTCAGTAAAACCCTCAAAAGATCAATAAGGGTTAATACACTTTAGCGTGGTTTGAGATCCAGTAAACAAAAGTCTCTGATAATTCGTTAATGTATACAAGAAAAAAGATAAAGTAAATGTAATGCATTCTCACTTGCTAATTTTCTTTAACATACCATTTCATGATTCAATTATTTAGCCCAGACCCTATTGATGTTCTTAACTTCAATTTAATTTTTAGGCCATAATTTGTTGTCTTTGACATATATGAGAACTGGTTGAGACTCAGGGTGCCAGATACCTCTTTGAGAAGCACTTTTTGCTACCTGGTTTATGAAATGGTACCAATCTGTTCTCAAATATGCTAGTGATACTGTGGAGTAACTCCATTAAAGTCAATAGTTCCTTCAGAATTACGGTGGATTAACTGGAAGCAGAATTTGACCCCTTCCCTCTCAGAGGAAGGCTCACTAGATGACATGCCAATGCTCTAAACATCAGATTAACCTTCTAATTGCCATTCAACCACTTTATTTTATAGAAATGCCAAATGTATTTAATGGCTGGCTACTATAATAACTTGATTTGTGCAGTTAAGCCTTGAGGTTTCTGGATTTTTAATCTGAGAATACTAAACTATTGCAGTGCAGTTACCTATTTGCAACTTAAATTCGGATACCTCGGAGTGTCAGTTTTGAAAATTTTTGCCTGAATTTTATCACCATAAACAGAAAATGGTAACTTTAGTCTTCTGATAGCCAGACCATTAATGGAGAACTCCTATTGGTTTGGGGCTAGGATTTCACCTCAAGAGCCTGATCATGTAGTCATTACTCAGACAAAAGTCTCATTGCCTTCAAAGACTGCCGGATCAGGCCAAAAGAGAAGAGAGAACAATAACTCCCATTGACACCTACGGTAGTTACTTGTAGCCCTCAGTTCTCAGTCACCATTGCCTTTCAATTGAAAAACAGGGCTTGCACAGGTGTACGTATGCAGAACTTGATTCAGTAAAGTTTACTATGCATGGGATTGCCAAGATAATAACCCAAACTTCCCAGTGAGACTGGTCTGTATAGTTTTCTAAGGCTCTGATTCTGCTCTCATTGACTTCAATGTAGCAAGCCTGGGCCCTAACCCAGCAAAAACCTGTACACCTGTTTAGCTTTGTATATTACTGGGAGTCATGCCACTGAAGTCAAGTAAAGTGAAGCATGTGTGTAAGACTTGTAGGATTAAAGCCTTAATTTATAACTTGGTAGGTTCATGACTAGAACTGCACGAAGGCAGCCTGATCCAAAGCCCTTTGAAATCACTGATTTCAATGGGCCTGGGACAAGCCCATAATGAATAGATGTCTCAACTTATTTGCAAAAAATTACAAAATGTCTTGAATGACTTATTTAAGAGAATATTAATTAGCTGGCTCCGTTCACTGCTTCTCAAAATGGAAACTTACTATTTCACTCTTTTCCATCTCCGGCAAGTGTCATTTAATTTGCTAGTAAAACAGAAATGCATTCAAGAGAATTCCCTCTGGCGCACCATAGAATTGAAATGGAATCTGAACAAAGAGAAGCAGTAGCAGTAGTACTTACAGCTTGATAATATGAGGGTGCCGAAAGAGTTTTAGGTTTTGAATTTCTCTCTTGATTTTCCCAACCACATCCAAACTCCGAATTTTCTGTCTATTTAAAATTTTTACGGCAACTTTATGTCCTGTCAGCTGGTGTTCTCCAACTAATGGAAAGAGAACATTAGTATGTCACTAAAGAGAATGCAATGACCTGTAGGAGTAATTTAGCTTACTGACATAGGTGGGTTCTGAGGGGACAATGGGAGGAGGGTCATAATGGGTAAATTGTCTGAAAGTTGGGAACCAGAGGCCTGCACAGGGGACTGGTGTTTGGATTTGATGACTAATAAAGGGATATCATCTCTAGGTTAGTGATTCAAGTCCAAGCCACGTTGTTGTCACCATCTGCAGATGACTCAGTGGCCCTGTGTGAAATGAGTCTGGTGATCTCAGTCCAGGCCCCAAGCCTGGATTTATGACGTAGACACAACTGACCACTTTACAGAAAGTTTCAGAGGCCACAGCTCTGATGGACACAGAAACTATGCGGTCAGAGAGGCACTTTTCTGTTTCTGAGGCACTTTTTCTATGCACTCCTATGAAAGGGATGAGCTTATGGAGCCTTCAAAGTCCTCCCATCCTCGCCCAGGATGGAGAGAGTGGAACTGAGCATTATCTATGAAGTTCTATACAGAGTGCTCACAATCCTGCAAGCTATACTGAAGGATGACAAGTCTATACACGTTTTACCCAGAGATCCACAAGCAAGTAGTTTCTGACTAGTTATGTATTTTAAAGTGCAGCTTCGTTCTCACTGAACGTCAAGCCATTAGGGAGGTGAAAGGATGGAGTTAACCCTGTCTCTCCCCTCATGTTGCAATCCTTCCCCTAACTACAGATATTTTTAATCCCTCCTATGCTGCCTTCTGTTTCTAACCACATTAAACTAAAGCTACTTTCTCTCGCCCACAAAGCCCCGCATGTATCATACACTGGGATTTTCCAAGCATGCCTTATCAAGCGCTTCAGTAGAGCAAGCCAAACTCTGCTCTGAGTTGTACTGGTCCAAATCACTTACATGGATGGCAGTGGTGTAACACGATAGGAGAATGTGGCTCAGAGTTTTTAACTTAATGTGAAATTTCCCAGCTTTTGTCAGTTTAAGCCAGCCTCCTTCTGTCAACTCTTAATGTACTACTTCTTGTGAGAATTAGAAAATAACATAAGAACATAAGAATGGCCGTACTGGGTCAGACCAAAGGTCCATCTAGCCCAGTATCCTGTCTACCGACAGTGGCCAATGCCAGGTGCCCCAGAAGGAGTGAACCCAACAGGCAATGATCAAGTGATCTCTCTCCTGCCATCCATCTCCACCCTCTGACAAACAGAGGCTAGGGACACCCTTCCTTACCCATCCTGGCTAATATCCATTAATGGACTTAACCTCCATGAATTTATCCAGTTCTGTTTTAAATCCTGTTATAGTCCTAGCCTTCACAACCTCCTCAGGCAAGGAGTTCCACAAATTGACTGTGCGCTGTGTGAAAAAGATCTTCCTTTTAAACCTGCTGCTCATTAATTTCCTTTGGTGGCCCCTAGTTCTTGTATTATGGGAACAAGTAAATAACTTTTCCTTATTTACTTTCTCTATATCACTCATGATTTTATATACCTCTATCATATCTCCCCTTAGTCTCCTCTTTTCCAAGCTGAAAAGTCCTAGCTTCTTTAATTTCTCCTCATATAGGACCCGTTCCAAACCCCTAATCATTTTAGTTGCCCTTCTCCGAACCTTTTCTAATGCCAGTATATCTTTTTTGAGATGAGCAGACCACATCTGTACGCAGTATTCAAGATGTGGGCGTACTATGGATTTATATAAGGGCAATAAAATACTCTCCATCTTATTTTCTATCCCCTTTTTGATGATTCCTAACATCCTGTTTGCTTTTTTGACCGCTGCTGCACACTGTGTGGATGTCTTCAGAGAACTATCCATGATGACTCCAAGATCTTTTTCCTGATTCGTTGTAGCTAAATTAGCCCCCATCATATTGTATGTTTAGTTGGGGTTATTTCTTCCAATGTGCATTACTTTACATTTATCCACATTACATTTCATTTGTCATTTTGTTGCCCAATCACTTAGTTTTGTGAGATCTTTTTGAAGTTCTTCACAGTCTGCCTTGGTCTTAACTATCTTGAGCAGTTTAGTATCATCTGCAAACTTTGCCACCTCACTTTTTACCCCTTTCTCCAGATCATTTATGAATAAGTTGACTAGGATTGGTCCTAGGACTGACCCTTTGGGGACACCACTTGTTACCCCTCTCCATTCTGAGAATTTACCATTTATTCCTACCCTTTGTTCCCTGTCTTTTAACCAGTTTTCAATCCATGAAAGGACCTTCCCTCTTATCCTATGACAACTTAATTTACGTAAGAGCCTTTGGTGAGGGACGTTGTCAAAGGCTTTCTGGAAATCTAATACTTATTAGCTGCTAAGATGCATTTAGACTGAATGACAGATTATGTTCACATTCCATACTCTGGACTTGATGACTACTCCAATCACCCTCTCCCAAACTGTTTTCACCATAACCAAGGAATCCAGTCCTGAAGGCCTTACACAGACATCTATCTTTGCAAAAGCTTAATAAACAGTTAGTGGAAATCTCAGGATTTACCCCTGATAAAATAAGCAGAGACATATGTTCATGCGGCCTCTAGGGGAGGGCTGTCTGGAAAAGAATTCCATTTGGCAAATATTTTTTAAATGTAAACATCTTTTTTCGTTCTGCATTAGAACAAAAAGTAGACCTTTAAAAACTTCTGTGAGTGTGAGATAATATGACTCTCACCCTTCCCCTAAGAACTGACAATAACTCAGTGGTTAGGGCCCTCACATGGGAGACTGACACTCTGTTTTGCTGAAAAATTCCCAACCAGCTCTAGTTATAGTGTCCTCTAGGGAGTAGGATGCCAGGAAGGGACTTGCCTTTACATAGGGCTTCCAGTTCTTCAAGGGAGAAATTAATTAATACAAGGTTTATGTACCACTTAAGCCTTAGGCCTTGTCTACACTACAGGGGAAATTCAATCTAAACTACGTGATTTGAGTTACGTAAATAGCGTAACTCAAATCGACATAGCTTAGACCTACTTACCGCAGCGTCCACATTATGCGATGTTGACAGGAGATGATCTCCTGTCGAATCCCCCTACTCTTCTCGATCTGGTGGAGTACAGGAGTCGACAGGAGAGCGATCTGCAGTCGATTTAGTGGGTCTTCACTAGACCCGCTAAATTGGCCACTGATGCATCGATCGCCACTCGTCAATCCCCCCGGTAAGTGTAGACAAGCCCTCAGTGAACTTACAGGGCTTAAGTGGGACTTACGTGATGTATAGGTCTTAACCCCTGTACAGAGGGCTAGTTTATGTTCAGCAGAAAGATATAATCAAGAATAATGCCAAGGTCTAGACTGTTATGTAGTCTGGCGTAGATTACTTTCCCTATAGAGTCTTAGCACACAAGTGCTAAAAACAAATAAACAAAAAATACTGAAAAAAATATGTCCCTGAAGGGGCAATCTGTCTCTGTGGAGCTCATATCCAAGGCTAAGTTGCAAGGACTTACAGCATGTAAAGATTAGGTTAATCAGAAATAGATATACATAAATCACAGGGGAGAATATTTATTGTCACACAGGGGTAGAGTAAATCTCAAATAACCTAGTCTTAAAAATAGAACTTTACACACTTAAATAATTATATGCAATCCTCCCGCTGTGCAAAATAACAGCAAAGGCCAAATTCTGCAGAAGTCTTTACTCAATGGGAGTTTCCACAGTTGTGTTTCTTGGCTCCTGAATACTGCAGTAGGAAACCAGTTCTTAAGACTTGTAGTAAGCCCTGATTTTAGGGGAGATGCTGCTGCTGCAAACTTTAGTATATTCTTTAAAAATACAGCTGAGAGAGAAATGGGTTGGTGTTGTTTGTCTCCTATTGCGTACATTGGGACTGACTTTGCTCTCACTTACACTGATGTAAATTGGGGGTAATTCTACTGAGGTTAGTGGAATCGCATCAGATTAAAAATGGTGTGTGAGAGCTTAGAATTAGACCCACTCCTTGCGATTGAACAGCCTGTGTCACAAAGTGTTCTGTGTGTATGAAGCCAAAATTATAACAAGGAAGCTCCTTGCATATCATAGCAATAATGCCTCTGGCATTAACATTTATGTCGCAGTTTACAACTTGAAAGCCTTTAACACCATTTTTTTTTGCCCATAATTTTAGAAATGGTGAGGAGCCTGCAAAGACTTACACATGCTAAACTTGACATAGAGTGGGTGGGATAATGGCTCAACTGATGTTAACAGGAGTCTTTCTTGACACTGAGAATTCAAAGAGGCCAGAACTTCAACCTGAAAGTCATCCCATTGCAACTCACAGCATGCAAACATAAGTACCTGTATAAATTTTTGCAGGATTGGTTAATATTTTGCTTTTAGCTTCATATAGTTAATTACCATTACATAACATCTTTCCCATGCCTATATTAGAACACATGCCAAAAACTAGTTTCTTCCATTCCTCTCTGTCATTTGCTGCTACTTCTATCTGTTCTATGGCAGACAGATGACCTGTTCTGCCCTCCTGGCTAAGAGGTCTTCTTCAGGTTTCTCTTGACTGCCCTCATTTCCTTACACCAGTACCTTCATGTGGGAATCTGTGTGTTGGTACGCCCCAGATATGTCCAGTGCATCCTTCTGATTCTGGTGGCAATGAATGAGCCGATAGTTGGTGATTTCTGAGAACTCTTCATTGTAACAAAATCTTTCCAGCCAATGCCCAGAATCTTTCGCAGACATTTATTTTCAAAAGTATCTAGTTCTCTGTCTACAATTTTTAGTAAATACCCAGCTCTCGCACCCGCAGATGTATCTTAGCACTGAGATTATGTTTGAATTGAAAATTCTCAGTTTTGTCCTGATGCTACATATCTTTAATTACCATACGTTTAGTAAATGCTGTGGGTGCCTTTTCTATCACTGATGTCACTTATTTTACTAACTTCCATAGGAATCAACTTTAGTTAAGTCTTTAAAATAAATCTATAGTTTAATAATTACACAACTAAGGAGTTCTCTGTA